AATAGACATTTGGAGCCTTTAAGGCCATGCATGCACGTAAAGTTTGCAACTTTACGTGATAAGCATGCCCTAGAAGCTTGGATGCGTGATTTGGAGTCGCTGCCTGGCTCAAACAAGTATGTATGGAAAGAGGACTGATGGACTTGGCGAGTCGCAAGGTTGACTCGGCGAGTCATATGAAGATGGTCGGAAACTCGACGAGATGGATGAACAACTCGGCGAGTCCGATGAATATCGCCATAAGAATCGACGAGTTGAAGAACAACTCGGTGAGTCGGATGTGTTTTCTCTTGGATATGTATGAGTGTGTAGCCGTCGAGTTGCAAGGAGGGAACTCAACGGGTGGCCTTAGAGTCCGAACGAAAATCAAAGGAACTCGACGAGTCACCCCGATGACTCGACGAGTTAGATTGTACTTCATAGAACTCGGCGAGTACGCAAGGGTACTCGGCGAGTTAAGGTCAACATGGACTGTTGACTCTGACTAAGAACTTTGACTTTGACCAGGGGTTGACTAGTGGGTTATGGGGTACCCTATAAGGTTAAGGACTCATGAGTAATCCGAGAGTTGGAGTTTACCCTTTGTGTCGACATCTGTGAGGTGAGTTATCCTGACTATATCGATAGGGTCTACGACACCAAGGCCGACCCTTTAGTTGTTATTGTTATGGTATGTTGCATGTGGTTATGATCTGTTAGTTCGGAATTGAGGTAGACGGTATGTTATGCTCTTATGATCTGTATGGATTGGTGTGTTAGTGACCTGCTAGGTCGGTACTCTAGTTACAGGAGAATTCTATAATTGATGATCAATGTGACATATATGTTTGATGTTTATATATGATTGTATATGATAGTATGCGCACATGGTTATTTGTTCGTGGCTGGGTTGAGGCGGTCATGATTTGTGTTGTAGGCCAATACACCCTATGTGTGGTCCGGGGAGACTGTAGGTCCACGTGGTGGACCAGTCATGCCGAAGGCTCGGAATGGATTCAGACAGACTGTAGGCTTGGTAGGGCGGTCCAGTCAGGCCGATGTCCCAGTATGTATGTTGATTGAATTGATTATTATTGTTGTGGTACTGTCAGTATGACATTGGTATTTTGGAGGTAGCTCACTAAGCCCTCGGGCTTTTAGTTTTCATTTTATTGTTTCAGGTACTTCAGGAGATCATGGAAAGGCGAATGTGTGACCGTACCGCTCCTCATCCTTTTAATAAATTATTTTTAATAAATTATTTTTAATAAATTTTGACTCATGTTACTATAGTTTTTTAAGTATCATTGTTATTGCTTTATATTGCCGTTATAATTGATATATTATTGTAAACCATGGGATCTTGATCTAATAGTGATTTAATGTTACGTTATAGATATTTGGTTATTGTAAGAAATATATTTATATACTCATTTCTAAATCGTGATTTGAAGTTATAAGAAAAAAAAGTATATATATAACATGCGGTGCGGTGCGGTTTGAACCGCAGTTTTATAAATACAAACCGCAAACCACACCGTAAAGTGCGGTTTGATAAAATGATGAACCACAAACCGTTCCGCGAAATTCTAAACCACATTATGCGGTGCGATTTTTTGCACAACCCTACTATGAACATATCCTTAAGAATAGTGATATGATCATGTCCTCGTTTCTGTTTTCGGAATTTCGTTTTATACTGTATTTTCATATAGATGAAAGGGTGATGAATTTTTTAGAGAGCTCGACGATTGGTAAATACATGTGATTATTATTTATCATTTTATTGATCATTATCTATTTTAAAAATAATTTATTTTTCTTATATCTAATTTGTTTCAACTTTCAACGATAGATCAATACATAATTTATTTAGTTTTGATTTATAATTTTTGAGTCAACTTAATTAAACTAAAATCCTCAGCCCGCGTAAATTTCCCACACAAAACCACGCACCTTTTCAATTTACTTTACTCCATGAACACCGTTGCCAAGTCATCGATCCGCATGATATCCCACGACATCGTGATCGTCGGTCATGATTCATCAACGGATAGAAATGCATGTAAGTAGCAGCCTCAGGTTTTAACTCCCCCGCTCACCCACTGTATATACAAACCACCAGTTGACACTCATCAGTCATCACAAGCTTCATCTACTTTTCTTCAGATTTTCAAAATTTCAGGTACTTTAGTTCGATTAACAACTTTTGATAGAATCTACATCCAGTTTAATTTATTTTATTTGCATTTGATTTAATTTGAAGTTCCTACTATTATTCGATTATTTTGATTTCAAAATTTCCACCTTTGTGAAATTTCTAATTTCATTTAGTCTTCAATTGTCATAGATTTCGGAGCAATTTGAAGAAGTCTGAAGATGTCAGGACGTGGAAAGGGAGGAAAGGGATTGGGAAAGGGAGGTGCGAAGCGTCATCGTAAGGTTCTGCGAGACAACATCCAGGGAATCACAAAACCGGCGATCCGCCGTCTTGCGAGAAGAGGAGGTGTGAAACGTATCAGCGGGTTGATCTACGAGGAAACTCGCGGAGTTTTGAAGATCTTTCTTGAAAATGTCATCAGAGATGCTGTTACATACACGGAACACGCCCGCCGGAAAACTGTCACCGCCATGGATGTGGTGTACGCTCTCAAGAGACAAGGCCGAACTCTCTACGGATTCGGTGGTTAGGGTTTTACTAGTGTTGTTGTTATGTTACGGATTTCTACTACTCGTTGAAATCGATTGTTAGTTTTTGTTATGCTCTATCTTAAACCAAACCAGAAGCAATAGACTGTTTCCGTATTTTGACTTCGCCAAATCAAATTCAAATTGGTTGCTTTTTCATTGTGGGAGCTATTTTGTGTAATTTTTTTTTCGAGGACATTGGACACCTATTTAATCTTAAATTACAAACATTATTTTCTCTATTGAAGAGTTAATGATCATTTACCTATTTTATTACGACTCACATTTCATTGAACACTCATTCAATCATAATTATCGTCTTATTCAACTTTTGTACAATTTGCATTGTGGATACTTATATGTAGCTTTTCTTCTAATAACTTATAATTTAATAATTTGTTGGTATCTTTTAAGTTTAAGTGGATTTTATATGAGTTTTGAAAACCATCAAAACTTTGATATAATAGAAATCTCATGGTGTAAATTGTATATTTGTATAAAACAGGATTTTATCTTGAACATGAAGAAATGTGAGGTCAAAAGATAGTGTCCTAAAACCTATGCAAAATTTTTGGAGTTGTTACGGTGGAAAACAAAGTTACGAAGTAGCAAGTTAGTGTGATATGTTTTAACTTGGTCAAACTATCTAATCTAAGGCGAAGAGTTGCAAACTTGTTTGTCACAAACACAGTGATGAACATAATCACGAACATAGTGCAAATACTTGCCGACTAATGATCATTGACATAATACTTGCAGACTTGCTGATCCTACGCACATTATAAAATATGGTATGCACCACTAATGATCATTCATTCACACCTTAACACACAAAGAGAGTGATATTTTCTTGCTATAACATTGACATAATGCATAACACACCCCATCGTTAATAGTATACATCTTAGCTTTAGAAAAGTTGATTACCCTCGTAAATTTATTTGGTTGTGAGGAACCAAAGATCATATAGTTATTGGTCATAGTATTTTTTTCAAACAAATTACATAAATTTATTAGTCCAATTTATATAAAAAATAATTAAATATGTAAAGTTCAAAAACTTCATTACTTTCACATTTCATTATCCTTTAATTTTTAATTGAGTTATTTGTACATGTAAAATGTTTCATGAATAAATGCATAAATTATTTATTTTGATTTATAATTCTGTTTAAAGTACATAAATAATCAAGGCAATTTCTATTGTAATATTGTTATTATAGCCTAATAAGACTTGTTAATTCAAGTGAAAGGGCCATAATTAAACTAAAAGCTTGTCCCGCGTATTTTTCCCGCAATTAAACACCGTTGTCACGTTACCGATCCACGTGACATTTCATATCATCATGATCGTCGATTGCCATCCATCAACGGTTAGCAATGCCTGTAAGAAGCACATCCGGATCCACTCCCCAACTCAACCACTATATATACAAAACCCCCCAATTGTCAACATCACCACTTCTATTTGCATTTCTTCGTATCAACAAAGTTTCAGGTACAGATCCAAATTAACAATCTTTGATGAATCTTCATCCATTTTTTATTTTTGATTCTATTAAAAATTAATTACATTGCTAGATTAGTTTTTTTCCTGCAAATGTCATTCGCCACTCTTTGTGAAGTTCTTAATTCTATTTGATCGTGAAATATCACAGATTTCGGAGTAATTTGAAGAAGTTTGAAGATGTCAGGACGTGGAAAGGGAGGAAAAGGGTTGGGTAAGGGAGGCGCAAAGCGTCATCGTAAGGTTCTGCGAGACAACATCCAGGGAATCACAAAACCGGCGATCCGCCGTCTTGCGAGAAGAGGAGGTGTGAAACGTATCAGCGGGTTGATCTACGAGGAAACTCGCGGAGTTTTGAAGATCTTTCTAGAAAATGTCATCAGAGATGCTGTTACCTACACAGAGCACGCACGCCGGAAAACTGTCACCGCCATGGATGTGGTGTACGCTCTCAAGAGACAAGGTCGAACTCTTTATGGATTCGGTGGTTAGGGTTTACAATGTCCGAAAAGAGTCTGTGGGTATTGGTGTTAGGTTAGTGAATTCTACTGCTTGTCCAAATCAAATGTTGTTAGTACTTAGTGTAAGCCTCGGATCATTTTACCAAAATAGAAGTACTCGACTGATTTCTTATCTCGATGTTTCCAAAATCAATTTGCTTTTGGGCGAAATTAGAATTGCAGTCGGTTGACTTTTGCAACTTCATCTTCTCCATCTGAATCAATAACTGTTATCATCATGATCAAAATGGTACATCCACATAACACACTTTCATAACCAATACATTTAAATAATAATTTCATATATGTAATTGTAAGCTGGAGGATCACACACTAAAATTCTTGTGGCTTGTTGCTAGGATAGCCTGTGATTTCTTTTCATATTTAAAACCTGAAGCTTTTGAATTATCTGCAGACCATACAAAGATCCCACCAAGTTTCCCTTGACTTTTAAGCCTATTACAAGCTTTAAAGAACCCATTTTTAGGTGATAAACCTCCACTTCCTTCGGTTGTGATGCTAGCCAAGATATTTCCACCTGCATAATTATCTATTTGTGTCTGAAAGTATCTCATAAACTGAGAAACAGTTGTCCCCTTATCATATGCATAAAACTGGAAATTGACATAGTCTATGACGTGAGCATAACTATTCCAGAGAGCCATGTAGTTTCTCTTTACTTCATCATCATCATCAAATGGAGCTATAGATGCAAATGTAATGACTCCATTGTTCTTGAGAGTCGTTATAAGCTTCCCAATGCATTCAACAAATGTATCTTGATCTGAAACGAAGTGCTCATAGTCTATATCAATCCCATCCAAGTTATACTCTTGGATGATCTTAGTGAGTGAAGATACAGCATTAGAAACCCATGAATCCACTGATAAAATTGTAAAATTACAAGTTTTTCCTCTCACAGTGTCCCCTCCTAAGCTTAAAGCCACTTTAACATTTGTATGCTGACTCTTGATTGAAGAGACTTGTGAAGGGCTGAGATTATGAGTATCCCAGAAGATTTTGAATTCACCATTTGTTGGTGAGGGAGAAGATGAATTTGTATAATCAATTGCAAATGCAAGTATGTAATGAAACTCCACATTTGGGTTGATGGGTACATCTGAAAATTTTACATTGTTATCTTCTGCTCCTATATATTCACTAAACAGGTATGATTTTGGTACAGTAGGTTGTCTTGATGCCATTGCTAAAAGAGAGTGTAGAGTGAAAAGAAGAATGAAAAGCTCAGAGAAGCCCATTTTTACCAAATAACAGATTTGAAGAGCTTTCTGGCAAATTGGTATCCCTTGTAAGTTATGTTTAGATGTTAATGAAGGAGTTTTTTTGGTTTTAATAATGTTCTCAGCTGCAGTCTTAAACAAGAAAAAACAATTTTGAAGATTCCACATTGTCTAAAAAACGAAGTTTTTTTTTGTCATATCAGAAGGTGCCATTGTGTTTGCTTGTCTTTTCTTGTTTGATGATTCTTACTTAAACTCTTAAACATTGTAGGAGGCACTAGTGTTGTGATATTTAATTACACACTAGTTGAGATTCTTGTTCTTATCTGAAAACAAAGGCTTTGGATTCACCAGCACACTAACAACAAATAAATGGCAAATTACAGAAAAATTACTATGTTTTTAACCTTTTACCTAAAAAATATTATTGTTTTTACAGTAATTTATATATTATTTAATGTTTTTTTTCTTCTTAAAAGACATTGATAACACCCAATAACAACACTATTAAATGTTCCACAAGCAAACGCATCCTAAGGTTGCGTTTAGTTGAAGAGAAACAATTTTTGTTTTCCGTTTTAAGTTTTCATTGAAAACTTTAGAAACTCGTATAGTTAAAACATATTAATTATTTATTTTTCGTTTTTAAAAATTAAGGTTGTGTATTTTTTTATTGGTTTTCATTTTCCATTGGGCCATGGTCTAATAATAACTTGGGTTAAAACATCTTTTATTCATATGATATTTTGGGGCATGGGCTAAGTTTAATGCAGTAATCCATATCATTGATGGACTAGGTTGGGGTGGTCAATGGTCACATCATAGACTATACATGTTGATTACTTGTTTTATGTATATGATAAGAAGACGAATGAGGATGACATTTCCTAACCCACCCACCCTATTCAAAAATCCCATTGTTGAATCTGTTAATTAATTAATGAAGGATCGTTGGTTTGAATCATGTTCTGAGCTGCCACCTTAAAGAAAAAGAACAAAAACCATGTTTGAAGATTAAATCCACAAGGTTTTTCTCCACATGAATACAAAGGGTGACGATGCATTACTTCCTTTTATTTAGTAGTCTTAGGATTCTTTGCACAAGGCTATAAATAAAGTCTTTTAGTCATAATTTTTAATTATTCCATTCTCTGTTTCTCTCTTTCACATTAATGATTTTCTATGCCATGTAATACCTTGTTCTCCAAGTCCATTTATTAAATACAAGTTTGTCTGCCTTGTGGTAGTTTCCACGTCCACCCAAATTAATACTCACGTTCTTGGTTAATGTTATTGCTTCTTGTGCCCATCGTACTTATAAAAAAGATCCAAAACGAGAACTTCAACAAACCTCAAGTTGATGCATATTTTCTACCATTTGATCACAATTCACAAGCAATATATATTTGTATCATTTCACTAGTAGATAATCATATTGTACATACACATACGCTTTTACAACCACATAGAAACACAACAAAATATATACATACATATACTAACGAGGGGCTGCTAGCAAAGCTTGTGATTGCTTCTCATAGCGAAAACCTGAAGCCTTGGAATCATCTGCAGACCATACAAAAATCCCACCAAGCTTCCCTTGACTTTTTAGCCGATTACAAGCAGTGAAGAACCCGTTCTCTGGTGATAAACCTCCACTTCCATCGGTGGAGATACTAGCCAAGATATTACCACCTTTATAGTTGGAGCTTTGTGTCTGAAAGTACTTCATAAACTGAGAGATGGTGGTCCCCTGATCGTATGCATAAAACTGGAAATTGACATAGTCTATGACGTGAGCATAATCCTTCCAAAGAGCCAAGTAGTGGCTTTGAACTTCATCGTCATCAAATGGAGCTATAGATGCAAAAGAGATGACTCCATTGTTCTTGAGGGTTGTTACAAGCTTCCCGATGCACTCAGCAAACGTCTCAGGATCTGCATGAAAATGCTCGTAGTCGATATCAATCCCATCCAAGTTATACTCTTGGATGATTTTAGTGAGGGAAGAAACAGCATTTGAAACCCATGAATCCACCGATGAAGGGCTGAAGTAACAGCTTCCTCCTCCCACACTGTCTCCTCCTAAGCTCAAACCTACTTTGACATTGCTATGCTGACTCTTGATTGAGGAGACTTGAGAAGGGCTGAGATTATCTGTATCCCAGAACACATTGAATTTACCATCGGTTGGGGATGAAGAAGATGAAGTGGTGTAATCAATTGCAAATGCAAGTAGATAATGGAATTCGACATTGGGGTTGATGGGTAGGTCTGTAAATTTGACACCGTTGAATTCTGCTCCGATATATTCACGGAATAGGTCTGATTTTGGTGCATTAATATTTTCTTGTGTTGATGCCACCGCTAAAAGCACTTGTAACATGAGAAGAACAATGAAAAGTTTGGAGAACCCCATAATGATCAAACTTCAATTAAAGACAGATTATGTTGAAGCTTGAAGGCTGTTGAACAGAGATAGGAAATCCGACAATTAAATAGAGGAGCTTTCTGACAAATTGTTTACCATGTGATCAGATTAATTAATGTTAATTAACGTGGCGTAAGTGTGCTTCTACTGTTGTTATACTTTATATGTTTAATAGTATATTTTCTGTCTTGATTAATAGGTTAAAAATCTATTCCAAGTCCCATGTAATTTCTATTTATTTGTTTAATTGAAAGTTTTTTTGTTTTAATCATGTTCTGAGCTTCCGTCTAAAAGTACAAAAACCATGTAGTCAACGCCTCATTGCCACAGACACCAAGTTTTGTCATAACATGACCTTTGTAAGTTGTAACATGACCTTTACAAGTATACAAAAACATGCCATTATGGAAAGAAAATTAATTGTAGAATCTTTTAAATATAACAATTTGTATAAAAAATTTAGGACTCTTTAAAAAATAGGTCCTGGACTGTCGCTTCTATCGCCCACCCTTTGGGACGGGCCTTTTTGCTTCATGAGATTATTTATTATTTATAAAACTAGAGATTGATGAATTTATCTTGATCCTCAGTTTCCATTAATTTTTTTATCGGATCCTATATAATTGGAGTACGAGTAGAATCATTTAGTAGAAATACATGATGTTTTTAAACTTGAAGAAGGCATGATGTTGTGATCCACACAGAAATTCACATAATCAATAACATGTCCATATTTCTTCCATAAAGCCAATTAATTTTTATGAACCGATCCTTCATCTTCATAGGGGGCGAAGCAAATTTGATGGTCCGATTTTTCTTTATAATTGTTATAAGTCTTCCTATACATCCACCAAATTCTAATCACGTGACCTAAAGTGTTCATAGTCGATGTCGATACCATCCAAGTTATATTGCTTGATCATGCTCGTTAACGAAGAAACTGCATTTTGGACCCATGAGTTGATATATTTTGGAGTAAAAAAGACCCTATTTTATCATGAACACTATCGCAACCCAAGCTAACAACCACTTTAACATTTGAGTTCATGGTTTTAACTGATGATGCTATTTCTGAAGGACCTAAATTTTTAGTTTCCCAGAAAACATTGAATTTGCCATTGGTGGGTGATGGGTGATTATCTGAGGTGTAATTGTCACACCCCCAAACCAGACGGCAGAAACGTCCGGGGGCTTGTGCGTGACTTCATCTTGAAATATTATTATAGTGAATATAATTGAAACATAACATCATCATCATCACAGATGTAATATTACAACATTCATTGTTTACATCGAGTATTGTATTTGAATATTACATGTCAAAATAGTAAGAGTATGATAAAAGAAATATCACACAATATCCATTAGTTTGTTTCGTTCATCCTGCTTCAACGGTATCCTGAGAATACAAGTTATTTTGAAAACGGTCAACATAAAAATGTTGGTGAGTTCATAAGCATGTTTGTGAAAATGATTTGTATAACTTTGAAAACCACCAGAAAATCCGATATTTTCTGAAAACTGTTTAGTGTGTTTGTGTTAGTTCTTGTATTAATGCATATATGCTATTGTTTATTTGACTAAAAAGGTAAAGAGAATGTAGAGAGAATGTAAGAGCATGTAAAGAGAATGTTCCCAGAAAACCCGACGTTGCCTAAAAAAAGAAGATGTCTTCCGTAAACTTTATAACGTTAATTCCTTTAAACGAGCCGTCATAACCATACTAAATAATGACAATTTCACCTGTCTTGGCGTAGTTGGACGCCGACGGAAAATAGAATAAGGTTTTCGTCACCCTAGACTGAATAAGTCTAATTGTAGCGAACAGCTGAGGTGTGGGGTGTCAACCCCGTATAGATCTATACACAAATCCCCGTTCTCCCTCCAGGAGACTCTGATTATAACAACAGGCTACGATCGTACACTTAATAGGTGCCAACTGATAAAAACTCGCTAGATCCTTAATAGAATTTATGCGAAGAAAAATGTATAAACTCATTCTAGGACCAATGATCCATGTAAGTGAACCACTAAGGCATCGCTAAACATGTAAATCATTTCAAGACCCAAATGGAATGAGATTATATAACATGGGTCCGAAATATATATGAAAGGACAACTAAGGCCCATTTCACATATAAAGTATTTACAGGCCCAAATAATACACAAATAGTATCCAAGGTCCGTCGCACATGTTAATGGGTAAATGAAGCCCAATAAATATGTAAATAGTATACAGGACGTATCACACATAAAAATGGGTCACTAAGGCCCAATAACCTAGAAAATGATCAATTTAATTCCATTTGTTGGTTTATCATTGGTTTTAGTTCAAGTATTCACTAAAATAACATAAAAAGAAGAACGCATATAAAACCCATTCCCAGGCCCAATAAACATGGAAGTGAACCACTAAGGCTCACTATACGTGTCTATTATTTCAAAGGACAAAAGGAATGTGAATATCGTTATTAATCCGTTTGTTATTGTTTTGTCTATTTTAGCTTGATTATTTACAAAGTTGATATAAAAGCTCTCCTTTTTGTAAAAATGACGTTCTTGGCTCAATAAGCATAAAATTTACAAT